CCCCCCCAAACAAAAAAAAAAAAAAACTCTAAAAGTGTTCTAGTATCCGGCGGTAGTTCTATCTCTACTGTCACTCTTTAGAGGTCGTGCTCTTGCTCCCACGCGGGCTGTTGCTTCTGCTTCCGCTGCGTCTCTTGCGCCTGCTCCTGCTCTTGTTGCTCCCGCTGTTGCTCCTGCGCTTGCTCTTGCTCCCGCTTTCGCTTTTGCCTTGCTCTTGCTGCTGCTGTGCTATCGCTTTTGCTCTTGCTCCGGCTCCTGCTCTCGCTCTTGCTTTGGCTCCTGCTCTTCCTCTTACTGTGCTCTAAGGGTGGAGCCTCGAGCCCTCCCCCTAAATCAGAATGGGCTTAAAGTCAGGGATGATTTCGGGAGGATTCGCCCCAATGTGTTTTGCTATCAGGGGTGTGTAATAAAAAGGGAAGCGACTATCGGCTTTTTGGGACACATCATATTACAAATCTTATATACTGGAAGGCAAAGGGGACTATACGCACACTGTCGCCCAACATGAATGTGAAGTGAACGGCTTCCCATCATGTACGGCTCAGGGGTTTGGAAGCTGGCCATGGCTGCTCCCAAGTTGGAAAGTACGATGAGCAATTCAGCAACAAACCTCCTGCTCTCCTATTCTGTGCAAGAGCACGAAGGCAAGCCATCCATGGTGAAGAAGGCTGACTCTCACTGTTTCGTGCTTTCCCCCAACCAAAACCGAAGATCAGAAAGGATGGGGGAAGGCAGAAATCGCCCCCCCCCCCCACCCCACCGCTGCTCCCCAAACCTCTGAGCCCCACACACTCCTGCTCCACAAACCCCAAGACCACAACCCTCAAACTCCAAACCCTCTACACTAAACCCCCCCAATACCCGCAACCGCAAAACTCTTATGAAAGATCCCCCGCCGTTCTTCCAAGCAGCCCCCGAAACCAACAAAAAAAAACACAACACCCGGCCTTTTGCTGCCATCCGACGCAAGCGCAAGCGTCTCGGCACCCAGGGAGTAGCCCTAGCAGCGAACTTTGGATCGGAAGGTTCTTAGGGTGTTGAGCGACAAGGGCTTAAGTAGGGCTTAGCTTTAAAAGGGCTTTTGATGCTTTGGGCTTCGGAGTTTGGGTTCTGGGTTCTGAATTCTCGGGGTTTGTGTTTAAGCTTTGGAGTGTTTTTGATTAAGCGGTTCTAGCTTTTAGCGGGTCTTGCCTTCGTGGGTTTAGGGCTTGGCAGCGTGTAGTATTTAGGCACGCCTGCAGCTTGTCGTTCAGCTCGTCGAGCCAGAGCCAAAGTGGCTCGTCCTGGGAGTCTCCAGGGTATGTCCGTCACTGAGATGCGGGATGGATGGGCTTAGGTCTGACTTTGTCTAAACTCTAAACTGGACGTAGGGTTTACGAGACTCGGCTTGCCAAAACCTGCGGTGTGTAATTGCCGGCTCCGAGCTTTACCGGTATTGGTCTCTGAAGGGCGCATCCTCCGGTATCGAACATAGGGCCTGAATATGATACTTACAAGGTCTTGGAGTATGTCCTTGGCACTCCCGGTCCGAAAGCTCGTCACGCTTCCAAGCCGTCATGTACCCCAAATCCTGGAAACTCGAAGCCTGGACCCTAAGCCAACCCGAAAGCTAAGACCACCACCAGCATGGAGCTATCGGCCCGACGGAATTCTAGGAGCATACAAGAGCCGGGCGCGGGGAACCGGCTGCTGCGGCGTCTGCAGGGCTTTCTTCCTCCAAAGAGGCGATGTTGGAGTTCTTGTTTGGGGCCCGAAGAGAGACAGATTGACGGAGGATGCTACAGTTCCTCTGTTTCGGAAGAGTTTGCCCAGAGGAGAGCTGGACATCATAGGAGTCCAGAAGAAAGAGGAACCACGAATAGGGTTCTTGAGATATCATAAGTATATTAGCATATTCTACTAAGATGACAACATTTGGGAAACATGAGAATATGGTACGACTAGATACTCAGATACGCATGCTCCTCAAGTTCGATTTCACACCCCAGGGTCTAATGTCATGTGCGGAATCATCTATCCAAACGTCTGCCCGTCACCAAGGTCAGTCGAGCTGACCAGAGTAGTTCTCAAGCTGCAAGAAGCAGAGCTGAGTGTGTCCCCTAGACCCTAAACCCTATACCCTAAACCCCAAACTTCTTCCTCCCCCGAACTCTTAGCGCTCGATCCCGAACGCGACAGGAAGTGAGGGCCGGGCGCGAGACCCAGCGGCCGCTGTGGCGATGGCTCTGCCTGGCTGCAACAACTTCCCCGCAACCTTGTGGCCCGGATTAACGGTGAAGGTAGGTATATGTGTTCCACTTCTGTAGATCTTTGCGCCTTGTGGGGGTGCGGGATTTGGGGGCTTGTAGGATTCATGAGGTGAGTCAGCTACAGGATGCGGCATTCAGCCTCAGAACACGATGAGAGATTCCTCCTTGCACTATTCAATGACTCGGTGACGTTGGAGTTGCCGGCACGCTCAGTTATTTAATACGCTCAGACCCGACTGTGCACTTGGTGGCATCCGACTTCGCTGTCCGATACTACATTTAAACCTCTCTTCCTATCCGTCAGAGGCGGTGGTGTGATCTGCTGGCATCGACAAAGTATTTTCACAAGACAACATCCTTCGGAACCAAATGTGTTTGCACTCCAGGTCCGGCAATCCCGAGCAGCACCCACACATCCACTTCGAGCCTCAATGCCAAGCCAGTTGTCATGTGATCCAGTAAGAGCATCCTTGCAACTAAACCCTACGCCATAGACCCCAAGGCCCGCACCTAAAACATTCTAACACACCCTAAGTCCCAAAGCCTAGCCCAAATCAGTTAAACCTCAAAGCTCGAATAAAATACATAAACAAAACACTGAGCTGCGGACCTGCGCCTCAGCCTCCTGCAAAAAGCTTCACGATTTTGCTCTGGGGGGGGTCTATAATAAGCTTAGAGTCTCAGAGGGTTTTTGATTCTGCTTGGACCCACCCTGGACGGTTTACGATCTCTGACTTAGGGTTTAGAGCTCAGGTCTCGCTTTCCACACCGGTCGCTTTTGGCGTTCAGAGTCTCTCTCGCTTGCGCGAGCTGACGTTGGCCAAACTTTGCTCTTGTCCTCATTTTCTGCCACGACGTACGGATCTTGTTGCTAGCATCCTCAGAAGGAAACCCGAGTTTAAGCTCATCAACATGTCTCACAATGTATGATATTACCATAGCGGGTGTGAGACAGAATGTGTTTTTGACTACGCGACCTGTATTCATTGCCATGACCACTTCACCGGCGAGGTGAAGCCCCACACCTTTAAACCCAAAGCCTTGGACCCGAATACAGAAGCCTGAATAGTACGACCAGGGCATCGGGGTGCTTATACTCTAAATCCTCAATGTATTCGGACCCAGAGAATACAATGGCACACTATTCAGGCCCCGCAGAATACACTGTTTGACAATCGTCGCTGCTTGTAGGCAACATGGCAGCCCACAGAGCATCGGTCTGTGCAGATGCCTTGTGCTGTTAGAATTTCTTTCGGGCTTGAGGGAACCATTTTTCTATGTTCTCGGGTGCTAGGGTTGTTCCAAGACCCGTGAAGCTTCAACACCCTTGTATGAACCCTGTAGAACTCCACACCCCGCCCCTCGAATGCCTATGAGATGCTGTTAAAACCCCCATACGTTTCTGAAGAACCTTCGCCTTAACACCCTTGCACACCCTATGAAATCCTTCGCGAACCCACCAATAGATCCCTGCAGGTTTTGGCGCGTCCTGGGCCATCTCCTCCGAAACTCGCTCAGCCTCTGCTAGCTCGGCCTCGAGTAAGGCCGCGGCCTCCGCGGCTTTGGCAGCAGCCACTGCCTCTTCGCGTCGAGGGACGTTTTTGTTGAACCCTCTGGAGTCGGAACAAGTTTGGCTGAAGGGTTACAGGCCGAGCCAGGGGGGATTCCCACCATGAACCACCTAGGTTCGAGGTTTCGCTTCTCTCATTCTATCTTAACAAGGCCTGGTCGGGTCGAACTTGTTGGCTGTGGGGGCTTTTGATTTCTACAGGGATGTACAGACACACTTATAGAAAGGGCTCCTTTCGTTGGGCTGTTGGGGATCTATGGATTGTTCAGTGATCCCTCCTCATCGAACGATTTTTCCCGAAGGTTCCAGAGTCCTTCTCAAGGGTTTCGTTAAGGCAGCATTCAGTAAGATGAAGCTAAATCACTTACAGAAGAATCTTAAGAGAATCTCCGATCTCGGAGAACCCTCTGCGAGAAACTCTTGCGGTCTGGAGAACTCGCATCCTCAGCTGCAGTGAGGAGAAGCGACTGAAAGGAGCCCTGTTGGCACCCGATGGATTTGCCCGGTTCCTTCAGCCCTTAGACACGAAGGCTTAAGTCTTAAGTTGTAAGGCCGCTTGAGGGAGGCATTTCCCACAGACGAGGCAAGCGACTGAAGGAGGTAAAGCAGACCGAGTTTGGCACCACTCCTCTCCCTACAGTTTGAGTTCCTAGAACCCGAGCCATCCACGGTAGTAGAAGGTGGAACCTAATTAGTCGACATCTTCTGAACGAATCCGGCAAGGTGTTTTGGAAGGCTTATCTTTCAGGATGAACGTGCTGCATCAATACCGACCAGAATCAGGTGTTATAGCTACGGCCACTTGGCGTCCAAACCGTAGCTTCCCCAAATTGTCGGGAAAGACACGGCCACGTGTTCCAACACAGCCTTCCCGCTTGAAAAAAAGCGCCACACCTAAAAGCTTTCCCCGGACTGTAAAATGGTCAAGGTAGCTATTTATTTATAGGCACCTATATATTAGACTCGAACTCCGGCCTCAGCTTCCTCCTCGGCCGTCATGGCCGCCGCCGCAGCTGCCTCCGCGGCTTCCGCCTCCGCAGCTTCCGCTTCTGCGGCTTCTGCCGCTTCTGCCGCTTCCGTTGCCTCTGCCTCAGCCGCGGCAGCATCCTGTCCATGGGTTTCTGGAGCCCTGTGTGAGTGCAAGGTGTGCTTGATTTGACCGCCACCTGTGTGGGGGCTGGGCTTCCATGCCGGCACCAGATTTGGATTAAGAGCTCGGACAAGCTGGCCTTGTCTGCAAAAACCCTCTGTTTCGAGATGGGGTTTTCGGTGTTGAAACTTTTTGAGACTGTGCAAGAATGACAGTGCTTGCCCAAGGCCGAGTCTGAGGTGCTCAAACTCCGAACTCTGCAGCCCTTGCCCTCAATGAACGCAATAAGCTTCCCGATCACCAGCTTGTGAGAGACAAGTCACTACACCACACCCTTCCTTCGGCTGTAGAACACAAGGGTGCTTTGTTCAATCAAGAACAAGATGGCATCGAAAAGTGTATGAGGTATTCTGGACTGCATCTGCATAGGGACTCGAAGAAAAAGGCATCTCATCAATTAACCTATACAAATTTCAGAGTTCAGACGGTGAGATTACAAGACACTGCCTCCTCCACGCCAACAGGTGGGGCCATTTGCGGCTCCTCCACTCAATGCTGCAAATACGAAAAGTGTGACAGCCAGGGTTCGGTTTAGGTTTGCTTGTGCTGGCGGCTTTACGGGAAAAGGGGCCCTCTAGCGAGCCTCGCAAAGTTAAATTGTTGAGCTTTCGGGTCTTTGATGCAATAGTGCCCTCCCTGTGTCGGCCTTCTCCGGATCATACGGCGAGCCATCGTCCTGAAGGCAGCCGGTGAATTGTTGATCTTCACAACGAGGTGATTACCGCTAAGAGTCCAGATTTTCAGAAGCTTAAGCAGTATAGTCTCTGATATCACAGTCCTCAAATTATGATAAGAGCCTTGGGTTTACGTTTAGGGGGCTTATGTTTGGGGTTTTCCGGCAATAAGATTAGGCTCAGATGTCTTGCCGCACCAGGGGCAGGAGTACCCCAACTCCAAGCTCTGACATAGCGACCTCTTCGACTAGAATTATAGTGCTTGGGTGTATACTAGGGTATACTACGGACTACAACGGCGTACCATTGCGAATTATTCAGGCCCGATACGAAGCCCCACGCAATGAAGCCCCAGAAGAGGAGTAGATTTTGCTCAACGACTGTTGTCACATTGCTCTGAAACGCTCTGAAGTCCAACACGAAAACTGCTCGGTCCGGTCCTGCATCTCCGCATTGCCTGCGTCCTTCCATTCCTGATCCTTCCAGTCCTGGTCCTTCCAGTTCTTGTCGTTCCAGTTCCGGTCATTCCAGTCCTGGTCACTATTGGATCAATCCCAATGCTCAGTCGGATTAGGCTAAGAAAGTGCTAGCATCCCGGGGCTTGGTAGCTAACTGAGCTAGAAACACGTATGTCTCCAACTACTGTATTTATGCCCGCACTTGAAAGTAGTCCTCTGATCCTCCAACGTAGATAACCAACCAACTCATCCCGGAATCCTCTTCTTCTCAAGACAATCCCAATCTCCTAAACCCAAAACCGGCCCTGGAAGCACAGCTCGCGTTAGTGTTCGCTCTTTGGCCGGTGTCGAGCGTTCTGCACCCGCACGGCTCTTGTTCAGGAACCTACTTGGTCTAAGATACCACCACTCAAGAGAGCAGATGATAATCTTATGTTACCACATACCTTTACAGGCTTTGAGGGCTACGGGCATCTCCGGATCCACATCACATGACACCCTCCGAAGCCCCAGCCCCGGAGCGACCGGCCTGATTGGCATGGCCGTTGGTGTTCCCCTTGGGCTTCTTCTGATTCTGCGCGTTCCACTCGTCCCACTCCTGGGAGTCGAACTATTTGGGAAGTTTGGATTTAGCGATTCATGCGTGCAGGTGTTCCACGCCGGAGCTCTGAACCAGAGGCGCCTGCCCAAAACAGCTCCCCCAACTCCTTGCCTCTTGAGTGTACTCGCGCTTCTTGCTTTTTCCTCGGCGGGGGCAACGCGGACTGCAGGAGCTTGGCCCCATTTCAACGGCAACTTTCACAAAGCCACTCCAAACCGATTGGATGGCCACACACTCCGAGGCTACGTACTAGGTTAGGGGTTTGCCATAGCCTGTAAAGTAGCCGGACATGGACTAATCCAGGCGTCCGGTTTGGGCACCCGAAAAGCACGATTGCATAAGCCGTTTCCAGGGATATGTCAGTTTGCATGCGCTATATCCCTGACATTCTCTGTTTACACCTCCAAGCACCCAGCGCTTGTTTTTGCTCGTCGGCGGTGCCGAAGGTTCTGGCGGCCGAACACCGTTGGGCATCGAGTCCTGTGTTCGGTTTAGGGCTTTAGGGATTCGGGCTTCAGAGCTCTAGGCTCTTCTAGGTTTTTCGGCGTTTATGGTCTAGTGTTGAGGTTATGCGGTTAAGGTGTTAGCGTTTAGATTTCGACGGTTTAGGGTTAAGGCTTTCGGGAGGCTGGGAGGGAAAGCATTCTGCCTGCAAAGCTTTGCCGAACTCACCAAACTATGTCCAGCCCGTAGGCAGGGTGAGATATCTGAAACTACCCCGACAGTTCGGATTTTCAGAACATCAGGGCACCCCTTAAAGATTGCACACCTGATTCAATCTTTTCACACCCTAAACCTCTAAACACACAAAGCCAAAAAAATAAACATCAGAATTGGCTTCTGGAGCATGATGCTTACTACATTGCAGTATGGAGATCGTAAGGGAATCCTCTGGCTGTTTCTGCAGAACCCTGTATTTCACCCCTGCTCCGAGCAAATCCGTCCTCCACAGAGATGTTGGCACTGCGGCAGAAGTCTAGGAACTCCGGATTCCTGCGGCTTCAGGGAGTTCAGGGTTTAGGGTTCAGGTTTTCGGGCGTAGGACTTCAAACATATGGGGTTTGGGGTTTAGGGGTTCAGGACTCAGGGCTTTAGGAGTGCAATCTTTGGGGCTTTAGGGTTCCCTTCGACAAAGACCTTGCAGGGCCTAGCAAGGGGAAATTGAAAGTTGCAGGGTTCAGGGTGGCTCAAACACACCCCAAAGACTCCAACACCCTCAATCAATTCAGTCAGCCTATTTATCACGTGAGGAATTTTCCCAACGATGATTTGAGGGGCACATTGTTGCATTGAGGGGTTTACGAGCCTCTGAGAACGCTTGCTTGAGGATTTCAGGTGGCCTTTACCTCAGGCACGAGGCCCTGTCAGTCGCCTGGAGAAGACCTCCTGAAGGGATTCGGCATTGGCCGCTAGCGCCAAGCACATCGAGAGCCTGCTGCAGGTTGCAGAAGCAAAAGCAGCCACGGCTTTGGGGCGTGAGTTTTGGGTGGTCTTCGAAGTTTCGGTTTAGGTTGTTGGTTTCAGGCTTCAGTATTTGTGTTTGTGTGTGTGTGTGTCTGCTGAGGACCTCACGGTTCTGCTGAGAAACGGAAGCTAAATCCCTCCCTTCTGGAGCTCACGGCGTGCACCGTTTTTGAAGGCCTCGCAGCTTGCAGCCGATGGCGCTGCTTGCTGGCCATGCCCACCTGCGAGGTTGGAGACACTTCAGGGTTCTTAGGATCCCACAAACTCCGCGCGCAGTGCCGAACGTCTCCTGCCGTTGAGGCAGTTCCGACTCGGAAGTTCTGATAGAAGTTACCCGCTTCAAATCAGCTTGCGACACCTTATGCCGAAGCCAGTTCAAACATCCGTGCGACCTTGTTCCTCTGTCAAGGCGTCACACGACAGATGACATTGCAATGTCTGGAGTTTCGGAAAACGGGCCCCTAACAGAAGCCCCCAAATGCTGTCATTTGCCACACAGCCAGTTACCCCTGAGTGAACGAAACCCCATTGAAGAACCCAACAAAAACTCCCCTTTTGGAGCTGAGCTTGGGGCAGCCCACAGCGCTCTAGGCGGGCCTCACGAAAAGCTGGAATTCATGAGAAACTTCGAGACATGGCAGCGGGCGAGCGTTTCGTAATTTCTATTATACTATGCTACTGCTACTATACCATCTATGTGTTCTTTATCTGTCAAGTTATTCTGACCCGATGATTGCTTCCTTCCGGGAGGCATCTGCGGGAATCGCAAATACAGCCTGTAGTCCCCATATGGCTTGTGCTTCCCAACAATCGCTCTCAATGACTTCATCAAGGCCCCGATACTATCGGCTGCAGCACACCATCAAGGCCCTGCGAGTTTCCTGGTCGAGAGTCCTTTTGCGAAACACTGTTGAAGGGCGTTTCCAGGTCTTTCGGGCTTGTGGCCATTCGGGATTGCAGGATTTCAGGGTTTAGGGACTTTAGGGAGTTTGGGGCTTAGCTTAGTGATTGCACTGCCGCAGGCGCAGCACGAGGAGATCCTTGAAGTTCACCCAAGGACCGTGCAGATCGCTACACAGATGGCGAGCTCTTCATAGCCGTTCTGCCGCAAGACGGCACCCACCTACAGGGAGCCGGCTTACGGTTTGCTGGGCTCAGGTGAGATCTGAAACCCGCTTGAAGTCAGCTTACGCAATCCCATATGGTTTTGGATTTTGGCAACACAGGCGGGACAAGCACCATCGAAAGCACAGCCAACAACAAAGAGCAGGAAGTCAAAAGTCTGAAAGTACGCAGGACCATGTAAGGGTTCCACACAATGTCCGTTGAGGGTCGTCACGTTGATGAGGATCCCGCGAACACAGCAAGATAGGGGCATGAAGATTTAGAATGGGGCTTTGGGGGAGATAGGAAGAGGTCTCGAGGAGGAACTGCACGGGAGACCATGTACTCTTAAGTACTGATTATTCAAACCCCTACATATCCTTACATTACATTGCCAGTGAGATTCTTCAGACCCTTTCGCTGCACAGAGTGTCTTTGTCGATCAAGGTAATTGAAAGGACGAACGCTGGAACCCAGTGGCCTCGGGGAAGTCGGACCAATCCTGCAAGCGTCGAAGTCTTCGGGTCTCGGGTAATAGTCTATGGCCATCGCGATTAACAGGACGGGAGACAGCTGCCCAAACCCTGCGTCCAGGACGACTTGCATGACCAGGAATGTTGAAATCCCTAAACCTCAAACCCGAATCCCTGGCCCCGAATCCCGTATCCCTAGACCCAAGTCCCTGAACCATTGAAGCCCGGCATGAGAGGTCCCCGTCGTGGTTGAAGGTCATCGTGTCGAACCTGGAATTCTGCTAAACCAACTCGAGACAGGATGTGAGAATTACAGAAGTTCCGGAGCCCCTTCTGTTCGGGGCGCCACAGTGTGAGGTTCCCTGAAACTCCCACGTCTCATTCAAAGGGTCCGAAGGGCTGAATCATTCGACTAGGGCTTTGGGAGCCTCCAAACTATAGATACATAAAGCAACCCGAATACTGTTGCAAAAGTCTTCAGGCCCCTAATTATTGCGTAACGAACCATACCCTAAACTAAAGCAACACCGTAGACTCGAAAACCCCTCAAAAAACCTAAAAGCTAAACCGTTCCGGTCTTCCTTGTACTGACAGCCGCCCGGCTCTTGAAGTTAGATGCCTCGGCATGTTATATAGGGGCCTGAACGAATAGAAAAAAGATGGGTTTGAAGTGGCTTTCCCAAACTATATCGGCAAATGCGTCTTCCTGCTTCCCCTCGACCAAATCCCTGCAACAAATACTGGAGGCCAGGATCATGCAGCCCAGCCCCTCTCTCCTGAGACCCTGAACCATCAACTCGGAGCCATATAAACCCTAGGCTCTAAACCGACGAGGACGACCCGCAAACTGAAGCAAGCTCAACAGCCCACAAAGACGCTGCAACTGAGGCGGCCACACGTCGTTGTCTAGATCGTACATGATGTTGTTGGAGCTACTCCTGAGTGCAGCAATGTCAGCAAGTCGCGCTTCTTAGGGTTACCGGTGTAGGATCCGTAAATCCTGAGCCCAAATTCAAGATGCAAGCCAACCTGCTTCATGCACATCTAGGATCGAAAGCCAACCTGGCGCCTCCTGCTTTGAGGCCTCCAGCTCTACATCCCAAAACCTCAATACCCGAGGCCCGAAACCAAGCTCTAAGCCTTGAAAAACTCAACTCGGAGATTACAGCTACAATATCTGCAACCGAATATTCGTTTCCACTTCCCGAATGTGGCATCCTAATTTGATCTATGCGCCTCAGCAAGAACCCCAGCATCAAGAGGAGCACCATTATCCCTAACATGGAATCTGAAGCTACGCTCCTCAAGAAGATCCCAGCACAATGATGAGAACCAGTATCCCTCATACTAGCATCTGAAGCTACATTCCTTAACAAGCATCTAGTCAAAAGGGGAGCATCCCTACCATCGCCTCACGGAAGACATGGTTAAGAGCCGTAAGCTCCAAAGCGCCGAATCGGGCCCCGACAAGAGTGTCTGAATGTTGTCACTCCACTGCACGACCGGCGCCACATTGAAGTAGCCCTCATGTCATTCGACTGATTGAGACGCTGGGTTCTGGACAGCCGAACCATACATTGAGTATTATGTGATGATGTTCTATGATGAGGAGCTGGCGCGGCCAGGATCAGGAGGAGGAGGAGGAGCAGCAGCAGCAGGAGGAGGAGAAGTGGGGAGGACGAGGAGGAGGAGTAGTAAGGAGAGGGGCCAGGAGGATGTCGGCGATGAAGATGAGTTTGATTGAACTCTGACTCTAGGCCCTACACACTGTAACTTTAGACTTCACACTTTCAGCTTCCAAGCACAAAACACTTGATGACGATGTTGTTGCTGCTTGTGCTGGTGGTGGTGACGCGTGATGGCGACGAGGATGGGGATGGAAATAGTGACGGTGCTGGTGCTGGTGATGGTCATGGTCATGGCCATGGTGATGGTGATGACGATGATGATGATGGCTGTCCCGGAAACTCAACGCGGCACCAGCCTCTTTGACCAGGGGTGACGTGTCGGGAACTTCGATCCACCTCGCATGCCGCGGTTTCGGGGCTCGAAGCATAGAGACGTACTAAAGCAGCGGCCACGAAAATGGGGCCAACGGGGGCAAGTGCGTGAAAAGCAAGACTACCGCAGCCAGTGCAGCCAGCCGGTCGTTAACGTTAGTACAGACCCGAAGCAATAGGATGCGCAATATCGGAGCCCCGCAAAAAAGGACCCCCCAATTTCGCAAATCCCGTTAATTATGGTGGCAACCTGCTGAACTCTATCCATAGAAGCCGTACTACTGCCGATAAGATCATCGTGGTTTTGCTTCTGTTCGGTAGAGATCTGGGCACATGCACCCCAAAGTCTAGAGAAGCCAAATGATCACGGTTTTCGGGGTTCTTTGCAGTACTGTCGCTTCACGGAGGAGCCTAAGGCTTGCAGAACTCCTCAACGAAAAACTGTCCCTTCGAGACCCGGGCCCAACAGCTGGACTTTCGGACACGGGCTCCCTGGAGACGAAGAACGTAAACTGTGAGGGGGGGTCGTGTAAGGCTTCATGTAGGTTCGATAAGGAAATTGAGGCTGTCACACTGTGGGGTCGGAAATTTTGGTACAAGGACATGCAGGAGCTTGAAGTGTCGGGGCCACGGATATCACTGCGAACTCTTTAACCCAAGCGAACAGCTCAAGCACAGGCAAAAACTGGGAGGCGAGAAGACACAGAGCAAACAGAAGCAACGACAAGGACAATTTCGGCATAAAGTTTCCCAATTCACGCTGCAGCAGACTTATTACAAAGTCCTGTATCCTTACAAAACAAACAGATAATGAGGTTGAAGATTTTGGACTGACGCTGCAGCACACACTGCCACAGCCTTCACAGTGCGTGAGTTGATGCAAAGAATGGTTGCACAATGCAGACAAAAAACAGTCCTGCATCGTCCGCAGCGCAACTTGCAAGCACACCGGCGCAACTTTGCTTGACCCTGCAACATCCACAACCTGTCAGTTGAAGCTAAGGACTTGCCAACTCTGCCAAAACTGGGCGGGAAAACATGCCAACAACGTGCGGAATCAAAGTCGAGCGCCACCATAAGTTGACCGTGGAGCTGAAACCAAAGTCCTGACGCCTGAACTGCACACCTCCCACAGGAGCCAACGAAAGGACCGCTGAGCAACCCAAGACGAAGATGGCGGGCCTACTAGGCACTTGGGCAACTTGAGCGTCTACGGATCCCGAACCCTACGCCCGTAAAGCCTACACACTGAAATCTAGCTAGTCCCCTCCCTAAAGCCGCAAATCCGATTCTGCATGTAACATTTGGCCGAAAGAACGCCTTGAAGAGCTAGGACGGGCTGCCGAAGCGCCTGGGCAAATAAACATAAGTATGATCACAGGGTTAGGATGTGGGATTGCTGCGGGTGTGGGGCATTAGAGATTTATGGCTTTAGGGGTTCAAGCTTCCAAGGTTTGCGGGGTTTGCAGCCTTAGAACTTGAAAGTTTGTTAACGCGCCGCGCCAAAATTGAAACCCTTTTCCGAAACCACCCAAGCCTCCCAAACATAACCCGTGCAAATTTATGCTGTGTTTGGTTGACAAGGTTCGCCCTTTGAATTTCTGTTGTTTGAAGGTTTCGGCTTGGATCATATTGAATTTCGAGTCTTCCGATCTTCCCTTTTTTCTTCTCCGGCTTGCGCTCGCAATCACTCGCAATCACTTGAAAAATGCAGTTATTGCCAGAAGAATGTAGATCGTCTTTTCGGGCCCTGGACACGAAAACTGCGTAATCCTAAATCCGAAAGCTTCAGAAGCGCTGATTTGGCTGCTGCTGTTTACCACTGCGCGCATCAGACCGGAACGTGTTGGCAATTGGCATGCCTGCAATCCTAATAAAAGGTTGGTCCTTACACGCACTTGGTTGCAGGGCCATCCCTCACCGCAGCTGCACATGCTGCACGAGGCCGACGGCCGAATATCCGCCGCCAGCACTAGAAACAGCTGATCAGCAATGGAATGTCTGCAGGCAGAAGAACCTCTCGACCATTGGGCTCGCAGAACGTTCGGTCGTGAGGAAGACAGGACTATGCCGGGCCGTCATTCATGAGCACACAAAGCGTGATCTCGGCAAGGAACGACCCAGCGGGAGCCCGGCGCATACGCCCAAGCAGCACCAGAGAGACGGAGGGGAGACACAAACGGGGAGGGAAAGACAGAAAGAGGGAGAGAAAGAACAATCAGCAAAGAGAGTAAAAGAGAAAGGGAGGAAACCACAAACAAAGGAAGGCAGAACAGTAGAAAGAGAGAAAACAACGAGTGGTGAAAAAGTAACAAGTATAAACAAAGATAAAGCGAGAAAAAGATAAGAGAGAACAGATAGAGACAGCGAAAGAGGCAGAGTCAGCGGGTCACCTACGAGCGCCTGTACGGGCTGAAGATCACAGGCCCCGCAACCGAAAGAAAGAGCCGTGCCAGCTAAAATTGGGATTGCTTGACTCAAAAAACATGCGGCTATGGAGGCTGCTACAGGCTGTACCCAGAGCTTCCTCCGAGAAGCGACCAATGCGACACCAGCGCCACGGAGCAACAGACATCCGAGCAAAGCTGTTTGGCAGCTTTTGCTGAGAACGAATGTTGCACCGACATCTGGTGCTCTGCCGTCCCGAATTCTGGACAAAGCCGAACAGCTTCAAAAGAGGAAGCAAGGTGCTGGCATCCACCCGAGTTTCGTGTGTCCCAAACAACTCGGCCAGCTCGCCCTCCTGCGCAGCACAGCCTCGGCACGGAAGCTTCGGACAGATATACACAACTCTTGCAAAGTTCGGCAAGGGCCTCAGCTCCCTCACGAGCAGACAGAGGATACTTCTTGTTCCCACGCCAGTGGTTTCCCAACAACAGCAGGAGGAAGCGACGGCCTTGAGCTTGGCAGATCTGAGGTGCGTCAAAGAACGAGGGTTTGGCCTCTGCTTACGACTAGCCGCAGCAAGGCTCTTGTGGGCCGCTTGGCCGAGGGTTTCCTGTCGCTGCAGGCCGGTGAGAATGTGAGTAAGAGTGAAAGAGAACAAGAGCGAAAGAGAATGACAAAAAAAACAGGAGAGATAAACAGAAAGAGCGAAAGACATAACGAAAGAAGGAGAGAAACAGAGAAAGACAAAACACCATCAAGAGCGAAGGAGGGAAAGAAACACGACAGCAACTTTTGCTGTGGGTTTGCGGGACTGGTGATCTTCCCACTTGAGCCCAGCTTTAATTTAAAGTTTGCAGCAGACAGTTTGGGCAATGGAAGGAGACAACCAGAAACACACCGGCACGAGCCCCAGCACTCCTTCTCGCCCTGGGCAGCGCCAACCACAGCGAGGCAGAAAAACTCGAAAGAACGCATTGCACGCCAGAGCCAGAATGGTGAGCCCAAGCTGCATGCTTGGACTCTTGCAGTTGGCAGGTAGACGCCAAAACCTGAGGATTGATCACAATGCATGCCCGGACTCCCGCAAAGGCATCAGGGCTGGACCTCATCCGTGCATGGGTACTGCACGGCTGTATCACATGCAGCATAAGTTGCCTCGTCGACGTGGTGCGCTGCAAGCCCGCTTGCCCGCAAACTTGCTGGGCCTTCTATAGGGAACAGGAGCGAGCAATCCAGCACGAACGTCGCCACGGTCCCGAACATGAGAACGTTGTAGGGAACCAAGCATGCCCATTCGTGCGAGACAAGCGACTCGCCTGCAAAGTGTTTCGCTAATCGGTCAGGATGCCCGCCTGCCACAAAGCTTCGCTCGGCAGCTGCAGCCAAGTTGTAGCACGGAGCAAAGGCGGCTTTTTGCAGCCGGACACATCCAGATCAAAACATGCAAACTCGGCGCGGCCTGTGTTGTAATGCAAAACCATGTGTCACAAAAAATACATTAATATACACAAAAGATTGAAACCACTCCTTCCCCGGCACCTCGGACTGCCTGCGGAAGGCTTCGCAGATGTCCGGGGATCCTCGGTTTAGGGTCTAGGGTCCATAGGGAAGCGGGCTTTACAAAACATCGGTTTGTAGTCTAGACTAGTCCAGGGTTTAGGGGATCGGGGTTTAAAGTACAGAGCTGCAGAAAACCCAGCTCTGCAGCTTCGGCTCCACATGCGCGCAAAGCGGGATTCTCTGTTTAAGAGCTGGTGCCTGTAAGAGTGGAGGGCGTAATGAACGAACCGTACGATCACTGCCTGAGGCTCTGCGGCTCTTCCGCTTCAATGCGCTCAGAAAGAGCCGGGCTCTGCAGCTTCGGCTCCACACGTGCGCAAAGCGGGATTCTCTTTAAGAGCTGGTGCCTTTAAGAGTGGAGAGCTTAACGGACGAACCGTACGATCACTGCCTGAGGCTCTGCGGCTCTTTCACTTCAACGCGCTCAAAAACAGCCGAGCTCTGCAGCCTCGGCTCCACATGTGCGCAAAGCGGGACTCTCTGTTTAAAAGCTGGTGCCTTCAAGAGTGGAGGGCTTAATGAACGAACCGTACGATCACTGCCTGCTCTTTCACGTCAGCGCGCTCAAAAAAAGAGCCGAACTCTGCAGCTTTGGCTCCAGACACTCGAAATGCCGGCCGGCTTCGTGGGCTAATGGTTGTGGGATTCCGGGAGGGCTGGGGCTTTGGCACTTGCTTACGTGTAAACTGTAGGCATTCATGGCGTAGCTATAAGTGCATGTAGTGCCTTGGAGCCCCTTTTCTCGCGAGCCGGTTGATGCGAGGTAATGGTTTACAGTGAAAGTCCGCTTGAACGTTTATGGATTCTCGGCTTTGGGCCAAGGTTTGGGGTCGTAAAAATGGTGGGTTAAAGGCACGAGGAGTAATTGACTGCCCGGGGCGACGCCGCGCTCGTCCTTCCAACTGCAAAGAAGAACTGAGCTCGACAGCTTCGGCCCCAGAAGTGTAAAATTGCGACATGTATAGCGGTTGGTGATTGTCTATCTAAACTTCAGGGATTGCAAGATGGATTCCAGGATCTACCGCAGGCAGAGTGGAGGGCTTCGGGAACGAACCGTACGATCACTGCCTGAAGCTCTGCAGCTTTCTTTCATCCATGCGCAAAAAACGAACCGAGCTCTGCAGCCTTGGCTCCTGAAGCGCTTCAGGCCTGAGTGTTTAGAACTTCACTGCAGGATGCCATTGGTCTGGCTTGAAAATTATGCTTCAATTCCCAGTTTCGGTTTGCAAGGGTTTAGAAGCGATGCGCTGTATGGTCGGTTGTCATGACTTTCATATTCCAGGCATGGCCGCATGCAACAGGATTGCAGGAGACGTTGCGAAACAGGCTCTAAATATGTGGTCCTTGAGAAAGCTTCTGGGCAGCTGCTAAAATCATGGCCTCTTCTAAACGAGATTGAAGCTTGGTGGATTTAAGCTATCGGGCATGGATACTCAAAATCCGCTTTGGTCTAGGATTCCAGAAACTCCAGGGTCGCGAATTTCACGACCGGACTTTCAGATCTCCGGCATTTGGGAGGCGAGGTTGTAGGATTCTCGGAATTGTAAGTTCTTCGGAATTTAAGTTCTAGTCCCGCGGGATTTTCGCGAATTTTGTACTTTGATGACTCCAGGACTACAAAGCAGCCCGGAGGAGGGAATCGGCAGTTCAAAGCAAGGCACGTGATTGAACGGCAATCAGAACTACATATAGGTCCGGATTGCTCAGCGCGGGAGATCTGGCGACGAAAAACCGGGGGGGAGGAAGATCGTGCAGAAGAATGCAGGGGCCAGTCGCAAGCAACAAGTGCACGAGCGATTTCTGCACCGCAAAGCCACCTACCCAGCCGTGAAGTACCGCCGTTCAGAAAATAAACGGAGCATCCACCTGGTCCGATACGCCACGGCAAACAGACTCCAGGACTCGAGGGACCTCCCTGCCGCAGCAAAGAGCTGGGACAGCCATCGCGCAACACAAGTCAAGGACGTCGAGCGCCTGTGCCATCAGGGCACGCTCCTGCTGGCGCAACATAGCAGCGCCGGCCCGCGTGGTGCAGCACCGCGCGCAGGCAATTGACATGACGAGCCGGGAGCGGCGTGTTGGCTTCAACCCCCAACATTGCACCCTGATGACTGGGGCCCTGGAATGTTGGAAGCTGCCTGCACTGCAAGTGCGGCGGATTTAAGGTTCACATAACACCAATTTTGATTTATTAAGACTCCCTTCATGTGCAATTGGGGCCCGGAGGGCTTGAGATGCTGAAGCTGAGCCGGCAGAGGAAAGACCATAGTACGGTGCTCGAAGTTTACTTGTCTTCGCACGACGTTCAACCAGGCTGTCACTGCGCTGACCTTGGTGGCCGTCGTGATCGGGTTTTCATGGCAGGGGCAGGGTTTTACGGGCTTCACGATGTTGGAGCTTCCGGGGTTTGGGGCTTTAGGTGTTTAGGGATTTTTGCTTCAAGTAAGTTTGGGTTGTAGGATCTCGGGCTTCAGAGGTTTAGGGCTTTGAAATTTCAGGGCGGCTGCTGGGTGTACAATTCCAGATGACTCCCACTGCCTCAGGCTCAGGGCCTGGAGGTTTGAACGCAAGCTCTCTCGAATGGGTGGGTCAAGCATGCGGAAACGTGACGCTAGACCAGGGCAGCTCGGAAACCTATATAGGAAACCAAGCTTTCTGGCTTGGAGATCGAAGCGACTGATCTCTGAAAGAAGTCTAGGGCGGCAGGGGAGAGCGACTGAGGGCCTCAGAATCCGGAATCAACTGTCTTCGTGTCTGTGTTCGCTAGTTGCAAAAAGCAACCCATAGAAACACTTTGTTCATGGCAATGGCAGTGCAGATTGCGCCTCCCCAGGAGTTGTAGTGGGCCGGATACACGGGCGGAGGCGGCGGAGGAGCGAAATTGCCTGACGCGGGAATCTCTTTCCGAGATTCGACCCATGGAAACTTTGCAAGTGCACTACTTCCGACGTCTACTAGCTGATCTCAAGCCCGTGTCTCTGTGCCGTGCTATCACCATGCCCTAAACCGCAGAAGACCCACTCCGAAGGGCATGGCGCGAAAGGTTTCAGGTCCGTAGCAGACCCGTTCAGTTGGGGAGGGGCAGAAAGCCAGAAGACTTGGCGAAATGGTTTTCGGGGGCAGTGCTACAGAAGCTGGCAGACTCCGGTTGAAACCTCTGCCGCGAGGAAATGATTAGTCTCTCATCCTTTGCATCTGTAGTGTGACTTCCATGGCTCCGGCTTGTAGAGCCACTGCCCAATCCGTATACTAAACAAACACGCGACGGTTTCCACACAATCAATCCAAAATGAACCCTCTCAAAAGCACACGTTTACCAGAGCCCTCAATAACGCACACGTTGCTACCCTGGGCCTGGGGGATGGCTAGGTGGTGCCATGGGTACTCCGGGGCGGACCTGGGTGAAGCAATTTGCCCCAGGCCCTCTGCGTCCTCAACTTGGATACAACTCTGTACAACCTTAGGCTTTTCTAGGGGCCTCAATAGCTACAATAGGATTTTGGGGTATACTATACTATAAAAGTACTATTTGTATTTATTTGGGCATCTATATTATGGCGTTTATCTTTCGAGGGTGTTTGAGTCAGGCCTTTGGGACGCTGGTGCTTTGGAGCTCCTTTTGTCCAGCTGATTCCGTTTCACGGTGCAGGGTTGACTTGGAAACGACAAGAGTAGATTCGGGGTTGCATGAGTGTCGGATTTCCACTGCATTGAGACTGCAGGTGTCAGGTTGTGCAACAACTAAGAAACGAAATGAAGCCTTACTCCATCAATCTCTGGAAGGCCTGCACTCAACACGGATCTCTCCTGAGCAGCAAACTCTACAGGCACTACACACCCTCAACTCAGCCGCCATTCTGACGAATCTGGTGGCCCAGGCAGCTTGGGTCGCGCCCAGCGCTGCGGCACTCGGCGCCGCCGTCCTCTCTTTGCCCGACATCGCTAGGTTCAGTTCTTACAAGGCCTCGTTGAAAGCGCTTCATCAGGAAGAGTCATGATAAATATGGGGGGCAAGACTAGATGGGGTCAGAATAGATGGGGTCTATTGGATAAAGATATGCAGCGTGAGTCATCCGGCAGAGGATGGAACGAAGGTTTGCCTCAGAATCTGCCATCCCGAAAAGTTCAACACCCTGTAACTAAGGCTCTCTATCCAAGGAGCCCTTCTATATCATTGAAGGAAAGCTATTCAGTTATTCATCAAGGACCCACCTTTAAGTTGGGAACAATGCTCTTGGACCCTTGCTAAGACACCTGTAAAGCCCTTATGACTTGTAACACTCACCTGAAGCCTGAATCCTGAACATTAGACATCAAACCCTAATTAACAAGGGTTCTGCGAGCACGCCATGAAGTCGCCATGGAGCAAACCACGTGCACAGGACTGAACAGCGAACTTGCAGCTTCCACCCCTTCGAGGTCGGGTCGCTGCCTGCTACGCGTAGGCCGGACGCTCGCACCTGACTTCCAAGAATGGAAGCAAAGTCATGGGAAAGTTGGGGAAACCCTTAACCGCTGCGATCCTCAACACCCGACATGTGACAACGCAGAGTTTCGCATGCTTATTCAAAAGGCTTCCCAGCACCAAGTCCGTGCGTATCGGGCGAGGACATCATCATGGAGAATTTCGTGCTTCTCTGTTTCCTATTCCTGTTCGTGAGGTTTGGAACCGTGGGTTTCTTGAGCAATGCCTGAACCCCAAACAACCTGACTGAGACTTTCGCTCCGATACCCTGAGCCACTTGGGTCAGCACTGGGTCGCATCCCAGCACTCGGCCTGCAGGGTGCAGCAGGCGGGTCTTTGCGGTGTAGGGCTTGGGGTTTTGTGGCTTGGGAGTTTGATTTAGGGGTTAAGTGTTCAAGAAGGGCTTAGGGCTGCAGGGCTTAAGGGTTTATGCCTACAACAGGGTACAGGGGTTTCTGCTTTCGGCATGATGACTCGCAGAAGCCGTGACGAAGGCTCCATGTTGCAGAAAGCAATCCGTAAACCCCTACATCCCAACACCCCTGCACATCTCTTGTAGACGATTGCCCAAGCCGCCAGTCCGATTCCAACAACTGCGGACTTTGGATTTAGGGTCAGGGTGTAAGGCTGCATGTTGAACTTAGGGACGGCCAGGTTCAGTTGTAGGCGGTGGTTCAGGTATTTGGGGCATGGGGACAGTGGGAATTCGATTTTTGAGGTTAGGGTTGGGGATTTAGGGTTCAGGGTGGTTTGGGTGGTTTAGGGTTCAGGGCGCACTGCCAGAATGGAAAGTCACTTGCTTACCGCTTACCAAAACTGCATGTTGCGCAGCATTCATTTGCTCTGATGGTCTGGGCCACCCTGCCCCGAGCCGAACCGGGCCCTTTGCGCATGGTTGGCCTGAAGATGGTTTCGGTTTTCGGATTTGCATAGGGCTTAGGGTTTCGGGTTGCCGCGTTAGGGGTCAGAGTTTAGAGGGGTTTGGGGTGGAGTTTAGATCATTCCACTTTGAGCCTGAGGCTGGGAGTTCGGAGTATACAAGTCTTGTCGAACAGCGCTGTTCTCGTTCACTTTCCGGGTGCGACAGGCTGCTGCTCACGACTTTTGGTGTTGGATTGCAGCCTAGAAAGCCGGATGGTGGCTTGGCGTCGATGCCTAAACAACACAGACGCCGCACTGCCCTTGTCCAACAGGAAGAGGAATTGCTACGACTATTACGACCCTTTGACCTTTCGCAGCATTCTGCAAATAGCATATCTCTAAGCGGGAATACCAATACTACCTTCGTTCCTTACGAGTCTCGAACTCAGACAACTACTTTGCTCCCTCTGCCCAAGCCGAACCTTGTGTGCCTGTGCACAGGCTTTACCTGCCTTCCGGTCCGAAACGATAAACTACTCTGCTTCAGCACCGGCAGGTCAAGAGTCAGGGGTGCCAAACGACAGACTAAGAATATAGCAAGGCTTTGGACAACCGGAACAAGTTTTGAACTCCAATGCTCAGCCCAAAGCAGCTAAAGCCCTGAACCCTAGAATCCTAGAGGCACTCACAAACCAAAAACAGCGGAAAGCTAAAACCATAAAGGCCCTAAAGCACCTGAACCCTTTATCAACCCCAAGTTTTCCTAAACCCCAAAGCAGCCGCACCACCGCGCCTGGGGCTGTGGGCGAGTGCTGGGTCTCAGCCTGAGCCCATCAAATAGCAAATTTGAGAACTGTTCTAGTAATGTTATATCACGAGAGGCATGCGGGTAAGAACATGCACTTTGCTGCCTCAACTGAAATGGAAGCCAGCCTCGCAACTGTAATAGCCCCAAAACCCAAAACTGTAACTTTGTCAGCGAACAGCAGCGAACACTTGCGTGTCCAAGTCTGGATCCACGATGCCTGCTGTGATGCTATCGTCGCTGGGAATCACACATACCAAAACTCCAAACACAAAGTCGTAAGGCAAGCATCTGTGGGTGGCGACATCATTGCAATAAATGCACACAAAGAGCCGAATCTAGAGAAGGTCCTCCTGTCTGCTAAGCACGTAAAGCAACGTGCTTGCGCTGGGTGCCCAAACGTTGGCCGCATGGTGCAGCGGAAGCGCTCGAGGCGACGAGAGCGCAAGCTATGTGGAGTTTCAGCTGGCTCAGAAAGATAGGTGATTGTGATTGACTGAACTGTTTATTTGGGCTTTTCAGCGGTAGAAACAACACATTCGCGTCCTTTTTGACGTGTTTGTTGTCGAGCCCATGAACGGAGTAGCATGTCTTAGGTCTTGGTCAGGCTGCGGGACGGGGCGTCGTTTTGAAGTGAGACGTGGGGAAGCTACTCGGGAATGCTTTGACGGAGCCCACGCGCACTGGAAATTGTCGGCACTTTCTCTGACAACCCATGCACGGCATACAGTTACATTGGGTTGCTGAGAGCCGGCACGGAATCGACGGCAGGGGCCTGCATGCGTTTTTCCAAATCACATCAAGCCGAACCATGTACCGGTGGAAAGTACACTGCTAGCAATCGAGCAGCCCGAAACACGAATGCGACTCCAACACTCCTTGTCGATACTGACTTCTGCAACGCTGAACAGCATCTTACTCGCGAAGGTGCTTCGGCCCTTCAGACATCCAGTCACCCTAAAACCTTAATCCGAACACCGGCCAGCCCTCAAAGTCCAAAACCTCCACGTGAATGCCCTAAACCGATTGCCCACAACCCAAACCCCAATAGCGATGAAAGCAAAACCCTACACCCTGGAACTAAGACTTTCTTAAACCCCGACTAACCCTTAAAAACCCCAACCCTGCACTCTCGCACTCAGTTTTTTCAAAGCGCTTCCATCGTCCCACCTGGGAGGAAGTTCAGGGCCCTTCAGCATTGCTGGTGGGGGTTTGAAGTTTTGTTGGGACTTGTGATGGTTCTTTTGGCCGTGGTGTTCTTGGGGCTGTGAGGGTCTTTTGTCGATTATATTGACTTTTTTGGGTTTATGCTTCTCCTGTCTCGCATGTGGGATCATGTGGGGCTTCTCGAAACCTGGGTTGCCTATGCAGATATCTACCATAGCAAGCAGCAAGGATCCTGATGCTTTGCATCTCTAGGCTGCAGATGCACAAACCTTGAGACAGTGCCCCACAACCTCCACAAAGGCAAGTTAGCTGCACAGCGCGGGCTGAGGGTTTATGTAGAGTTTAGGTTGGTATGGTTGGTGCCAAGACCTATATGCTCAACCAAAGCAACCACGAACCCTCACCCAGAAATACCCTGTACACACCCCACTGCCCTCAATGCGGACTGTTGACAACATGTAATCATGATCGTAGCCATGAACGAAGGCAACATCACAGTCAGCATCACCCAACAACTACACGAATCATGATGCCGGCTAGGCTGACAACATCCCAAATTGCAAGGCCGGCAGAACCACAAACAGCAACACGCGAGCATATGTTTTCGTGGATTTTGCATCAGAACGGCGGTGATAGAAAGCGAAACTGCCCATGGAGAAGAGGAGACTGCCGCCAAGGAGCATGTTCGGCATGCTCTCATGGCAGAACATGTCTTCCGTCAACAAAGCAATTAAAGCCATGTCCATGTGCTGGGTGCGCAAACGTTGGTCCCATGGCGCAGTGGACGAGCCCAAGGCGATGAGAGCGCAAGCAAGTTGTAGTTTGAGCTCGCTCAAGGAGATTGATGAGTGAACTGCTGATTTCATGAGTTTCTTTTTGTGCTTCTTACGGACCGAGCTCAGTAGTCGATACCCACAGCATGAGCTCCGTTGCAGCTCTTGCTCAGGCCGTTTGTTAAGGGAGTATAAGGGAAGCTGCTCTAAATGCTATACTGGAGCCCACATGCTCTGGAAAAGGCAGGCTTCATGCACTGGCTGTTGACGCTTACTCCGTCTAGTCCTGCGGAGTGCACTTACTGACAATTCAAGAAGCCCCAAAACACGACGTTGAACCCCACATTTCTGCGAATTTGCTTTGGGCAAGGCAGCCCGTCAGATTTCCCGTCACCCCAAAGCCTTGAGCGCTCAAGACTTAACGCCTCAACACCCGTGCCCGAAACTGAAAACTCATAAAAACTCCTCGATGCAAAGCAGCGCCAAGAACGTGCCGGCGTTGAGACCGAAAATGCTCATGCCTGGTAAAACTTGAAGACCAAAGCTCTGAAGCTGCATAGCCCAAGAACCCCAACGCCTGAGCTTCCCTGACACACGCGGACTCAAATTTTGGAAAGCGCTTCCATCGTCCTGTTGGCCTCACGCTGCCGGCTTGGAGCCGCACCTGGGAGGACGTTTCGGGCTGCGGGAGTTTACGGTTTACCGCTTCGTTTAGAGCTCAGGGGCCCAGGGGTTTCGGGCCCGAAACACAGCAACGCCTGAACTCGGATCATGTTCCAGGGTCCTTCCGGTAAGCATCCTACAATGTCTGGATTTCTGAACCTATCATCTAGCTGCAGACGCCCACAGCCTGAGACCGTACCTCAACAAAAACCCCTCCACGGGTTACCTGCAAAGCGCGGGCTTGTCGCTTGTGGTCAGGACTTTGGGCGTTTAGTGTCGCCTCCAGTGGCTTTGTAGGTTGCATGAAACAAGAGAAGAGCACATGATTCACCAAAGAATCCATGAACCCTCACCCAGAAATACACCGTAAACAACGAACTGCCTTGAATATACAGTGCCCGCAACAAAGAGTTATGATCGTAGCCATGAACGAAGGCAGCACAATCAATAACACCACCCAAAAGACACACACACACACACGCAAATCATGATGGCGGCTTGGCTGACAGCATACAACACTGACACTGCCAGGCCGGAAGTACAAACCACAAAATGCAAGAATACGAGTCTCCAGGTTCTTCGTCACAACAGCGGTGATAGGACGCGAAAGTTGTACATGGAGAAGAGGAGATGTGCCGCCAAGGAGCATGTCCGGAATGTTCTCATGGCAGAACATCTCTTCCTTATCCTGAGATGGGTAGCAAACAACCTGAAAAGGACGGACTTAGATCATGCTAGCTACTGGGTACTTCGGAACCGCAGAAACTCGGAACCTTCTCGAACCTGCCGGGTCGAGCTCGTTGCTGCTGGGAGCCCTCTTTCGAAGGCATTTCCACGGGGAGGGAAGCACGAAGCCCATTTCCTGAACGTTGGCCTGAAAGCTCTACTTCTGCACCTTAACGACGATCAGCACTAACGACTACGCAACTGACCCAACAGCCAAAATCCGTCGAAGCGCAGCTGATTGCAGGCTAGGGGCACAATGGCCAAATTTTTCACACTGCAGCTCGAAATCCTTGGCAAACACCTGGCCAGGGGTAGGTTTAGGGTTTAAAGGTTAGCGGGTTTGCGGTTCGGGGGTCAATAGGGCTTGTGTGGCTAATAAGGCCAAGAAACGGTTCCCAAACGAGGCGCGGGGCTAGAAAGAAGTCCAAAGAAGAGAGAAGTTTTGGGTGGTGAGACTGATATTCGGAATCGCTATGGAGTCGCGTGACTATCCAGCCCCCTATACCCCCCCTCCTCCCACAAACTGCTTGAAACCGCTGAGCGAAAGCCTGTCCTTCCGACGTTGGGTCCCCCCCTGCGGCTAAGAACTTGTTGTTTATCAAGGTTAAGGGCGTTGGGGTTTCAGATGTTGGGGTAGTTTAGGGTCCGAGACCAGTTCCCCCCGTGCCGCCTTCTTGATCAAGGCCTTCGTCACCTGCACAAGTCGATGCATGTCAGGAGCAAAATTTTTAGGGCCAGGAACCCACAGAGTAAACAAGCATAAAGTATTGAAGCCTACTCAGCCTACTCCGGCTTTATGTCGGCTCGTTGGGAGGTGCGCCTGCATCTGACACATGCTGGCCGGACTAAAGCTACAGTAGGGTAGAGCCGGATGACACCGCAATCTTGAGTTACGTGTCCACAAAAAAGGGAAACCGCTTTCCAGCAAGCGAGCTCCTTCAAATCACCACCAACGACATGAGCCTCTGCGCCCAGTACCCCGAGAATCCCCAAATGCAGCGCTCCTCGTCCAAGGAGTAAGCGGAGACTTCATTGCATTTGTAGTTGTGAAGACTGGAACCCATACCTGCAGCTCGTGCAGAAAGCTCGGGTGATTCCCGATGGAGTCCAAGCTAAGCAGCTAAAACTCGGGAGGTTCTCCGAATAAGGGTATCTAACACACTCTCCTGCGGATCCTGAGACCACCCCTGTGCGCGCAACAGTTCTCAGGGGAGACTCCTCGCTGGATGGAGAAGGGACGGCCTGTACCAAGATCTCAGCAATCAGAGTCATCAACACAGCTATCGTACGCGACGTCGTGACATTTCGAAACTCAGGGATCCCAAAACACTCCTCATGACTCCAAAGCGAACAGAACCTCCAATCCTCCAATCCTCCAAGTCCCAGGCATCTCTTGTTTCTCACAGCTTCATTCTGATTTCAGGCTGCGAGAGAGTCCACAACAAAGATGAGAGGAATGCTCGACATAGTGAGACGCCATGTCCACTGGACAATGCGCTCTGGCACAGGACAGTCTGCCATGATAGCTGGGACGAAAACAGCCATCTCCAGCACTGTTCCCACGGATGCTGTGTCCAGCACCGTCTTCACCCGGAGAACCTCTGCCGCAGGCGTGGTCGCGCTTGTGCCTAGGAGGAGGCGCAGGGCATAGGCCAGGCAAAAGAGGGCCGACACCAAAGTGACTGCATAGCCGTAGTGCTGCCCCATGCCCACGCGATGCAGCTCGAGCTTTCCATACCGATTTGGCCCCAGCACGGAATACCTAGGTGTGGCTCTGCATACTTAATGCTAATGGTCAGTAACCGAAGACAAGAGACGACTGAGTACGGCGAAAGAGCTTATGCCAAGAACACCTCGTCGCATCAGGTGGTGCAGAGCAATCGTGGTGTGAAAGCTGGCGTAAATCTTTGAAAGCCAGAGGCCGTTGCGGCCGAGCTGTGGACGGTAGCTGCCCAATTTGGTGGAAAACATCGACCTGCATTTCAAAATATCAAGCCTCACCTAATTCATGAACCTCGAACATCACGAGCCCTCACCGTTGCGGGATCCTGCAACCCGACAGGTAAGGCGAAAGCAGGCCCAAGGGGCGAAAGCTTCCAACCCGCCACCTGGCCAGCCGTTCCGAGCACGCCATACATGCAGAGATACCTGGGCCAATGGGTGAGCCCATAGATATCTAAAGGGCTTCTTCTCTAAGATCCAGGGTTTAGTGCCTTTCATTGGCCAGTGCGAGGAAAATCCCTTCCACTCCTGGAGTGCCATGGTGCAACATGGTGTAGGCTGGCTCATCTGCAGCTTTCGTGCCGTCCATGGCCGTCCCATGTCGCGGATAGTACGAGTCGGGAGTCCCTTTGAACATCTCCTGGATGGCCGGGCCAAGCAATGGGAGCCACGCAATGCCGATGCCTTCGTAGACCAGGGATAGGACGGCAACACTCAGAGCACCCCCGGCCATTGGGATCTCCAGTGCATCCCAGACATGAGACATTCCTTGAAATCCGAACCGATGGATCCTTGGGTAGGCTTCCTCTTGAGCCATGATCAATGCAGCATGCTCTTGTGAGGCCGTTATCCCGTTTGCCTTCCGGTCCTGGCAACAGCCACCCGAATGGAACGGCCCAACCCTCCGTGCTTGCAGCCTTACACGGAGTCTCTTGTCCACCACAAAAACGCTCAACCCCAAATGGTAAAGGAACCCCCAACCCACCCCTCAAGCCTGGACCCCCTCTAAGCGCCAAACTTCGAACTCAATGGTTTGGACCGCTTTTCAAGGCAAAGATGTGCACAGCGAGCGGCGCACGGTACTCGGGCGTAGAGGTTTAGGAATGTGGGTCACCAACATGAGGTTCCTGTTTTCATTCTGGATTCTTCTCCCGAAAATCCTGTCCGGGCTTCGCACGAGGAGTGGCGTTCTTGGAGCTCATGAAATCGTTGAAGCTCTCCTCCAGCCGAGGGACTTTGGAGTGCTGTGCGTTCGGACAGGATTGGGTGCTCCCCAGAGCTCACCTTCGTGCCCCTGTACCGAGGTCCCTCAAGAGAAATGTACGGCCAACCATCGGAACATAGTACCTGTATAGAAACGAGTCTAGGTAAACACTTGATTCTTGATATCGATTTTGGGGACACCCTGCCATTCATCCTTAAAGGAGCATTACGGATCATCGCACGCTTGTGAACGCACCCTGGCAAGTCCACGCATCCACAGGAACACTCCACTGACCTTTGCGGCCTAGGGCCGGCTTCCATTGGCCATCTTCTCCAAAACCCTAAGCCCTAAGCCCAAATCTTAACCCCTCAATCCTAAATCCTACACCCTGAATCCTAAACGCTAAACTCGAAACCGTGCCTAAACCCGAAAACCGTGGGCAAGAAGCACTGAGCCACTGAGGACGCTTTGAGGCAAAGCTGGGAGCCCCTGCCGGGATGCCGCGCTCGTCGATCCACTCCTCAGTGACTTCAGAGCTTTTTGCCGGCTTTGGGCCTTTGGGGTAAGGCCAGGCCTTAGGGTTGGGGGGCTTCTGGGTCCCAGCTTTGGGATTATTGTGGGTTTTGGGGTTGACAAAGCTTCGGCTTCAGGGCTTGAGGTTCAGATGTGGTTGTTTATGCAGCTTCGGTCTTAGGCTTGGGGTGGGTGGCGTAGGCTCACAACAAGGCCCCGTCTACTTATGGCCTTAGGGCAGTTGGCCTGAATCGGGCTGAACTGCACAAGCCTCGAAGAAGGAACCCTGCAAAGCCGTCTTAACTTATGGAGGCAGTCCAGAAGCAGAGGGCGACTGATATGGCTCTGCTGTCTGGAGGGCGGCTTTGTGTGGTTAGGGCCCTTGCTGGCTCAGGCTTGCCCGATCCTGTAAACCCCAAACCTTCGAACCACAAGCTCTGACCTTCCTCACCCTGCGTCATGACGGGCCTTCATTCCTCCCAGCACGCTTTTGGGGTTGATTCGAATATTAGCTATATGAAGGAACCCCAATTGCATCCTACAGAAGAAATCCTACAAGCCGAAGATTTTGAAAACCCTAAATCCCAGCCGTGAAGCCTCAACCTTGCGTCCCAAACGCTTCAAACAGGGCCCAGTCTCCACCTTGCCAAAAGGAGTGGATTCATAGTCTGCCGACGGCAGGAGGTGGCAATTCGTCCTAACAGGGTGAAAACCAGGGAGCGTCATGCAAGACCGAAAGAATCGAATCCTGCCTACAAGGACTGAACTCAGCTTTCCCCCTTAGTGCCAGAAACGCCCGCTTCGGAGCTTCCGTTTTCGGACCAGTTCCAGGCCTGATTGTGTTACTGCGAGTAACGGCACCGCTTGGCCATAATCACAACGGCAAGTCCATGGCATCAGGGTTTCGGCTGCAGGTGAAGGATCAGGGATAGAGTAAGTTGCGAAAGGTTGTCATGTAACTCGTAGTTACATCTACTACTTAAGTATTTGTTGACCCGCTTATGGTTAAGGTACCTATAATAATAGCTTTACTTGTCCGGTAGCTCAGGGCCTTCTTCAAGAGAGCTTTGGGCGGGACTGGTGCTGCTTGGCTTTAGGCCCTGGGGTCAGCTGGCCTTGCCCTTGATGCTGCACGCTATCCACCATAGGGCTTAGGGCTTAGGGCTTAGGGTTTAGGGCTTAGGGTTTAGCGTTTGGGGCTTAGGGTTTAAGGTACAGGACATATCATAGGGACTCCAAAACGTACACCAGCCTGTAGCGGTCGCCGGCCAGAACCTGTGTGAGCCTTGGCCATGGGACACAAGTCCATTGGCAGATATGTAAAGTGCGAACAGACAATATATTTATATATATATATATATGGTACCTCCCCCCATGTGCCTACCTTCCTCTCTCATTTAACTCGACTTGGACCTCAACCAGCCTCCTGGGGTCCAGGGTCTGGGGTTCTCGGAGCTTCATGAGCATCTAGCTTTATGGCATCAGGAGCATCTTTGTATGCCGTCATGAGCATCGTACGCGTGTACAGTCTTTCGTCCT